ACCCTCTATAGTTTATTCCCATCACTGCAGACAGATGATCTTTTAAACAATGTAAATTACATCTTGTGTTTCCCCCACCCCCTCCCGAGATGGAGTCACTCGGGCTCGAGTGCTATAGCGATCTCATCTCACTGCAACCTCCACCTCCCAGGTTCAAACCATTCTCCAGCCTCAGCCTTCTGAGTAGCTGGGGTTACAGGTATCCACCACCTTGCCCAGCTAATTTTGGAATTTTTGTTAGAGACGGGGTTACACCATGTTGGCCAGGCTGGTCTTGAACTTCTTACCTTGTGACTTGCCTGCCTTGGCCTCTCAGAGTGCTGGGATTACAAGCGTGATCCACCGTGACGAGCAGATCTTATTCTTTCTTTGTGCAAACCCTTCAATTCCTCCCTCTTTTATTCTGAGTAGACACAAAATGCTTTCAAAGACCTATATGGCACTGAATAATGTGAGCTCACTTTCCCCTCTCCAACCACATCCTCTACTACTCCCTCTCTTGCTGCCTCCACTCTAGTCACACTGTCCCATCTGCTTTCCTCTGAAACTCTAAGCACATATTTTTCTCATGATCTTTGTTTTCCATCCCTTCTGCTGAACTACTATTTTCCCAAACAACTGTTTGGCTCATCCTTCTGCTCCTTCAAGTATTCACTTAGAAGTTTATTTCCCACTAAATATTGCAAAGCTCCCTTACCCAGAGTTACAGAAAGTCAAGTTTAATCTTCCAGTCTGCAAAGTTGGTCCAAGATTTCTCACACCAGTCAGAAGTTTAGGGTATGCATGGCTACCCTCATTTCAGACTAGCTGTTTACAAATATGGAGTCCCTGTGGACTCCTTCAGATTTTATACCTCACAAGAGCTATTCATAGAATTCAGCAAAGCCCTATAATTACAATTACAGTTTTCTTATAGCAAAAAGGTATAAATCAGAACCAGCCAAGGAAAGAGACACATAGAGTAGTAGTATCTTGACTTAGAATGTTCCAAGTGCAAAAATTCTCTGTCCTCAGAGATCTATTACCTTCACGGCATCTATTCTGCCAGTGTACTTATGGAGTACTGCCAACCTAAGAAGCTCACCTGAGCTTTGTGTCTTTAGTTTTTATTGGGGTTTTATTATTATATATAGGCATGATTGATTGAATCATTGCTTGCATGATTGAACTCAATCTTCAGCCCTCTCCCCTCCCTGGAGGCCAGGCTGATACCACATGGCAGCAAGTCTGAACCCTCTAATCACATGGATGGTCTTTCTGGCAGGGCCAGTTCCTATCCTAAGATGATCAGTGTGGCCATTCTAACCCTGAGTCATTTCATGAGCCTAATATAGTAGATGCTCACCATAAGGCACCATGTTAGCATAAGCTATCACATATTACATAAGATTCCAAGTATTTAGAGATTACATTGCAAGAACCAGAGACAGAAAACAATCATATTTTATTATTATGGACCCCCCTCACCACTCCCCCCAACACATTCTGATACTTACTCACCTGCCATTTCTATTTATCCCCATTCCTCATTTTATTATCACTAGCACCTAGTAGCATCTAACATATTACATCATTTCTTTATTGATCTTATGTATTGCCTTTCTTATCAAATGAAAATGGCAAGATGAAGGAATTTCTATTTTGTGTTTGTTGAATCTCTTATCACTCAAATAATACCTGACCCACTTTATAAATACTGGTTGAACAATTAAATAAATCTGTTTTCTAAATACAGGTCTTCTTAGAGCCCTTAATATTCCTTATATTATACTAGAATTTCATTTATGTGACTTGTAATGGAATCTATAAATATTTTAATGTTTTAAAACCTGTCCAATATATTTTCCTCAACACTCTTATGACAGTAAAATATTTCATCTAGCCTTTTAATATACAACTGTTAACTATAGCTTCATTTTACTAGATTTTAAAGCTAATTAAAATATATTCTCAAAAATTACTATAGCTTACTTAGAAATAACTGACTGAATTCTTAAGGATAATTTTAATTATCATTTTAGACTTGGGTAGGCAACATTAGGATTCTATAAATCTGAGAAAACTTTATTTTTGAGGCTAAATGCCTAATTTTCTTTGTATCGGGGCATCATGAGTCAATTAGTGTCTTTTTCTTTAATCTGTTCATAAAATGAGTTATCAACTATATGCTCAAATATCAATGACAACAAGTAATTTTCTATAACACAGATGTTAAAGAAAGATACTTTCTGATTTTTATTTGGTTAAATTAGCTGTGTCTTAAAACCTTTCACACCTACATATGAAGAAAATTCTAATGGGTGATCTGTAAAGCATTTTGGTATACCACAAAGTAGAAAAAGAACCAGGTAGTAAAAATACAGCATAGACAACCTCATGAAAAATTTTACTCATTACTATTTTGAAATCTTTATTTAGTGACAAGAACAAAAAATGTCTTTGAGAAATAGCAAAGTTAAGATGTTTAAATTTATCTTATAATTTTGAGATAAAATACGTAGTGTTTTGGAATTGTGCATTTTGGAAATATGTTGTATTTCACAAAGTTTTTAATTAATACAGACAGAAAGAGAATTGTCTCTCTTGCTATTTTTTAAATCTTTGGAGATTTCTTCAAATTATAGAATAAAATACTTCATCACTTCAATAGCTATTTCAATCTTTTCAAAACTGTACCTGCATCTACAGGCAAAGGAATTTCATTATCTCTACATTACAATTTGGTATGTCATGAATTATTTTATAGGGCAAAGTTTGTTAAAAGAACACTGGCAATATCATTACTGCTTCGCTCTTGAACTCAAGTACAAGTCAGCTCTGTTTAAGTCACCATTCGCAGAAGACAGAAACGAATGTGCAGTTAAAATGGTGCCATAAGTAAATCAGAGAAGAATTAGAAGAGAAGTGGGCAATTTAGGAACATAAGAATTGCTGTACCGAATCAGATAATCGGTTCTCCTGGTTTAATATCCAGCCTCCAGTAGCTGTAATTGTTAGTTTCTACAGCTTTAAAAGACAGAAAAAAGGCTACATAATTTACCTAGACAAGTGTGCCATCTGTTATCTGGAGACATTTTCTTCTTGACCTCTCTCAAATAATACCCTAAAGCAGTAGGTTTCAATTCTGCTATGATATTGGTTTAGCTTGAATGGCTGTGCTTATTAATAATTCTTAGTAAATTATCCAATTCCTCCATAAAATAAACTAGTACATCAAGAAACTATTTGTCTCTAAAGCTCCTGAATTCACGGTTGAGCATGTCTGCATCTATGATAAAATATGGATTTATAGTGCATATTCAATATAAGTTTTTGATGGCAAAAATCTGCCTCTTGAAAATCATACTGTACAAATGTCTACTGGACAAACTCTACTGGACTTAGAGACTCTGGCCAAGCAAACTTACATCTGCTCATACTACTACAGAATTTCTATCTATTAAGAATCTACAGAAGTATCTGAATAATGAAAGATTTTGTGTGTTGAACTTTTAGAAAAGTTTTTGCTCCCACTAGCCATTTAGTCAAAAGTTTCTCAAGAGCAGTGAATACCTAGAAGTTTGAGTCTAAACAGTTTTCGCAGGCTGTTAACCCTTAATGTGGCAACGCTAATTTCTTAAGTCCATAAATTCAGTGGTTTCTCTTTCTGTCCTAGAATTCAACAAAACTCGTTTTGTTCATCGCTATTTGAACAAAGAAGTAGATTAATCTTTAATGTCTATGTTAATGCTATCTTTTTTTTTTCTAGCTTTCCCAACTTTCCTTTCTAGTTCATTTCCTTATTTCCTCTCTTTGAACCAGATTCCTATTCCATCAGATAATTTCCTTTCAAGCATGTAGTGACTGCTCCCTCTTCTGAACAATTTGTGGCCCTTTATTTAAACTTGGCTTATGCTGTCTTATATTGCAGGTTCTTTGTTTTCCTGTTTTTTGTTTTTGTTTTGTTTTTTTTTGCTTATAAATTCCACGAGGAAAACTTTGTGTCACATATTTATATTTTTGGAGCCTAGATTAGTGTCTCAGTAATACTAATAAAGACATGAGGGAATCTACAGATGTATTAGTGACTCTGTAGAGTCACTTAAAAAAAAAAACTGAGTTTCTGGTTGTGTGACCTTGGCATTAATATATTATTGAGTGCTATGAAAGTATAAACGAGCTCAACACTGTAGATATCTAAAACATAGAATCAACAGTTATTCATTTAAAAATCACAGTTATAAATATGGGAAATATCAAAAAAGATAGTATGAAAGTTTTGAATGAGTTTAGACATATAAAATTGCAAAATAAAATAATTCTAAGCAGAATTAACAGCTAGAGCATAGAGAGAAAATGAAAAAAGCAGGGAATTACTGGGGAACTCTACCTAATTCCTATTGGCTGGGTTTATAAAGAGAATTTCTGAAAATAAACTTGGAAATATGGGTGGTACCATGTTCATTAACCTTAGTATAAAACCACTGAAGAATTTATTGAAAGCTTTTAAATTAGTAAACAGATTTATGAGATGTTAAATGAACTTAAAAGTGGGACTGAAAGCAGTTTCCTGTGAACTCAGACAGTATTGATAAGAATATATAGGATAAAATAGATGCAGAGGATGAGTAGGTGATATGATTCCTTATTATGAAATGATTGAGCCTAGGAGAAGGGAAGAGAATGAAAAAATGTAGCACTGTGCTTTGAGCATATGTAAGTGTGAATGAAGAAATAGTTTATTGAAATAAAAATATTTCTTATTCCAATATGTTAAGCAGAAATCCATTTTAAAAATTAAACTTTAAATTTTAATGCCTACAATTTCAAATAACATAGTACTTCTCAGTACTAAAACCACTAAGCCCAGTTCACTTACATCTCACATCATCAATATATATTCAAAATTTTTTTCTGTCTTAAACTCTTTAAAGCTCTTGTGAACAGTTTTAGAGAACAATATTCTTCTTAATATAACAAAGATTTTAATTTCACTACGATGTCTCTATTTTATTATTTAGAAATCCAAATGGGACTCAGAACAATAGCACAAGATGGCCTATCTTCAAAAGTACTGAACAAAAATATCTAACCTTGAATACAGAGTCGCCAAGAATATTCACTAAACTACGTGCTCAACAATGCCGATTCTGGACATTATTTTTTCCAAAAGTCTTGGAAATGACAGGTATGTGTGCTTTTAGCATTTGGTTATTTAATTAATGGTGGGTTATGTAAAAGAGGAATGAAGAAGACTATCCAAGGCAGGGTGATGGAGTTACTCTATGTATCTCTGACTTTAAAATAACTTAATTTGACGAATACATTACTTTAAAAACTTTCCCATCAAGTTTAGATATGTTGTACACTCTTACAATATGAGCAGTACTTCAGTAGTTAGATAAGGAAAACCAAAATATAAATTTCACCCTGTGAGAGTATAAAATAGAAAAAGGAAGCTACAATAGAGCCCTACTTGTTATTCAGACAATCTTTGTGGAATTAATTAATGGACAAATAAATGAATGCATCAAATAATCATAATGTATAGAACTAAAAAATAAGTATGTAAAAATAGCTAAAAACGAATTTATTGTTTAAGGGAGGAAAAACCTCCAAAATTTACATATTTAAAAACACAATCCAATATATATATACATGTGTATATTTTTGAGATGGAGTCTCACTCTGTCACCCACCTTGGAGTGCAGTGGCATGATCTCAGCCCACTGCAACATCCACTTCCTGGGTTCAAGTGATTCTCTTGCCTCAGCTTCCCTAGCACCTGGGATTACAGGCCTCTACCACCACGCCCAGCTAATTTTTGTATTTTTAGTAAAGATGGGGTTTCACCATGTTGCTCATGCTGGTCTCAAACTCCTGACCCCAGGTGATTCACCCGCCTTGGCCTCCCAAAGTGCTAGGATTATAGGGGTGAGCCACCACACCTGGCCATGAACTCTGGATACTGCATTCCAAACATGCCCTTCTTGCAGTCTTTCCTATGTCAGCAATGTCACCTACATTCATTTTTCCAGTTTCTCAGGCCAGAATCTTTGAAGTTAACCTTTCCTGTTCCCTTTCTCTTTGTAAATGGTGTATTGGACTAGTAAGGGCTCTACCTACAAAATATATGTAAGATCTGCCCTATTCATTCAATTTCTGCCACTACTTCTCTACTTCAGGCAACCATCACCCTTCACCTAAATTATTTTAGTAGCCTCCTAATTGGTCTCCTTGAACCTTCTGTAGTTTATTCCCAGCACTACAGACAGATGATCTTTTAAACAATGTAAATGAGATCTTTTTATTTCTTTCCCCACCACCCTCCCCCGAGACAGAGTCTTGCCATGTCACCCAGGCTGGAGTGCCATGGCATGATCTCAGCTCACTACAACCTCCGCCTCCCAGGTTCAAGCCATTCTCCTGCCTTAGCCTCTCCAGTAGCTCAGATTACAGATGCATGACACCACGCCTGGCTATTTTTTTTTTTTTTTTAGACACGGGGTTTCACCGTGTTTGTCAGGTTGGTCTCTAACTCCTGATCTTGTGATTCGCCCACCTCGGCCTCCCAAAGTGCTGGAGTTACAGGCATGAGCCACTACACCTGGCCCAAATATTTCTACATATTCTGAACTTGGAAATTTTTATCTAAGCGCACACACACATATTACATAACATTATATAATATTACATAATATTATAAACAAATAGTTATTTAGCTAACCAGTCTTCAGGAAGTGATTGGTGAGAAATATGTAAGGAAATACTATGAAAATTTGTTCAGATTATTATAGTATCTTGATATTCATTATTAAGAAAATATTGTAATCCATTTGAGTGGTCAAACATGTATCACCTTAGTTTGATCTTCTTCAACAAAAATGACATATATCTAACTCCCTGTCTGGCTTTTAAATGCCCAGCTGTTTATGATCCATTTGGTTCCTTAAATATTCTTTCTAAAAGTAATTGATTTTCAGCCATTAGATATATTGTAGATCCTACAGAGTTTGCTATTCTGTTCATCATGACACTGTAATTTTCAGGCTGTGTGTTAGATATCATAATACAGCAAATGTTTTCAATTTTTTATTTAGATAAGTTGGGGGTGAGTTTCAGCAAATATGGGCATCTCAGAGCTGTATTTGATTGTTTAATATGCCTTTTGGTTATCAGACATTACTCACCAAAATTATAATTATGTACTCCATCTGCTTGGGAAATGTTTCTGATATGCCAGTGCTCTGTGTATTACCAAATGTTCTGTGACATAATATATAACCAGAGATGGGCTTCTGCTTCTCTTGGCAGAGCAACAGTGCTGTCCTTGTGTCCTCCGGGTGTGAATAACGATGAGGTAACTTATTAATCTGCCGAGAGACTCAAAGAGATACTGTAATTTACCATATCACACACTGCATCCTCTTAATCTTTATTTAAAATATTTTTATATGGGAGGGTTATAATTTGGGATAAAATGAGTGGGTTATTTTAAGTGACTTATTTATTATAACCCAAGCTGAGCCCTTCTGGTTTAAGCACAGGTGATCTATTTCAATTTATGTGATGATAAAATAAAATTTGAATATCAGCATTTTTTAAAAATACCCTTCACAAATTTCTATTTCCAAATACTTACCTGCCATAAAGCAGATTAAATAAACAAACTCCAAAGGTTTGGGCCAGCTGCTGCTATTTCCCATATAATGCTGAACAAATTCCTAGCTCATTTAACACTGACTTCTATGGAAATACCTACCTCACTATAGTCTAGGACCATACTTATGGTTAGGTTCAGTGTGTCCTGAAAATATGCTTTTGTATTATACCATTTTTTCCAATTAATTTCCCCATAATCCGGCTTTCATAATTTTAAAGTAAATTCACGATACGATTATTGTAACATGTATTCATTAGTAATAAAAATGCTACCTTTGAACAAAGTCAGTTTGAGGTAACAAGGATTTAGATTTTATAAGTAAATAGTGTGAACAGATTTAAAAGATTAAGAACCCATGTTCTTGCCATACCTTATATTTTTCAAATCATGACACTTCAAATATTTTAATCTTTAATGACTTGAGAATGGGGTTATTCAGATGACGTGAACTAAAGTTTTTGGAATTTTTTGAAGGTAACTTTATAAGTAAAGACAAATTTCAAAGAATAACTACTAGCTGGCTTTCTTAAAAGGAGAAATGTTTACCTTACTCAAGATGGAAATCCAATAAGCTTTATAAGTACCACTTCAGCAGTAGTTTACATTTGAACAATAAATGTTCTCAAATAAAAAGGTTCTTAAGATTCGTTTAAGCACATAAACTCTAGCAGTTAACTTTAGACCATACTTCAGCACATGGCTATACTGTTATTGCATGCACCTGGAAGAGATAAAATTTTTAATATTTATTTCAAATGTTATAAAATTCAGATTTCTACAAGGATATAACTGTACAATATCACAATATTATACCTGTTTGAAAAAAAGAAAAGGAAGTAGCGAAATGCCCCATTTTCAAGGATATTACTATTTTTTCAATAAAAGTAGAATAGTACATTTATTTAAAAGATAAAAATTCTTCATAGTACCCCAATGAAGAAAAAAAATGTTAGATTCAATAGTTCCTCCATTGGCCTTTGAATAAATCATGCTTGCCAAAACTAAAGACCACTTGTAAAGTTATAAGCCTAGATATTTGGACTGGTTACTTTGAGAATCATTTACTACTTTTGCTGATCACTTAGCAAGACTGGCAGTCAAGGATGAGAGAGTGGAAAGGTGATTTGGAGAAAATAATGAAACTAATTTTAATGTCTTAATATACCTGAATTATCAATTACTCATTAAAAGCAAAACAAATAATCAAGTGACTTTTAATAACTTAATAATTAAGTTAAATTAACTGTTTCTCTTTAAATTACATGAAGTCTTCGGAAAGCCTAGCCAGAGTTTATACTAGTTCACTCTGTGATCTTACCCCACACTCAAAATTACAACAGATCAACTAATGATTGACATTTATTGCATAAAGCAGTATCCACTCCATGATAATTTTAATGACTGATCAACAAATAGAAAAATAATCATGTGACGTAGACAGAAGAGATATTCAATGAACACTCAAATATATGAATGTTTTTATTTCTTCATTATTCATTATGATGCCAAATATAATTAAATATCAGTATAATCTCATAACTTCACCTCCACTAGCAATTATGGGTTAATTCACCTTTGCATTCTTTCCTGCTATGGTCTGAATCAATGTTTGTGCCCCCCTAAAATTCTTATGTTGAAATCCTAACCCCTAAAGGGCTGGTATTAGAAGCCAAATCCTTGGGGAGATGATGAGTTCATTAGGACAGAGCCCCTTCAAATGGCATTATTTTAAAAAGAAGAAGAAGAAGAGGAAGAAGAAGAAGAAGGAGAAGGAGAAGGAGAAGGAGAAGGAGGAGGAGGAAGAGGAAGAGGAAGAAGAAAGAAGAAGAGGAAGAAGAAGAAGAAGAAGAAGAAGAAGAAGAAGAAGAAGAAGAAGAAGAAGAAGAAGAAGAAGAAGAAGAAGAAGACCTCCTGAGAGAACTCCCCAGTCCTCCATGTGAGAACACAGCAGTTAAGACTGCCATCTGTGAACCAGAAAGCAGGTCCTCATCAGACACAACCTACTGTTGCTTGATCTTAGAAGTCTAATCTGCTGGAAAGCCTCCTCAACTGTCAAAAATAAATTTATGTTGTATATCAGCTACACAGTGTACAATGCTTTGTTATGGCAGTCTAAACGAACAAATATTTTCTAATTCCTTAGACTTTATTAAATAGACAGCTCTGGTGAAAATTTGCTCACTGTTCTTTTTGGCTAGAAAAAAAAAAAACAATGACAACAACAACAAAATGTATTACTATTTTCATAAGGAAGAAAATAACTTTTTTTAAAAAAATTGAGACAACAGAGTTTGCAAAACAAAGATCACAAAGAAGTGAACTGAAAAATGCCAATATGTTTATAAATTTACTATTTCACAATTTGCCTTCCATGACTATTCTCTTCTCTTTACCCTGTGAGACCTTAAACAAAAAATGGAATCCCACCTTTTCTAATTCCCCCAAACCCACAAACAAAGCAAGTTGTCTCTGTTTTACAATATGAACAAGACTTGGTGACATTTGAAATAATTTTAAAGTAATGAAATCACTCATATAACAGAGTTGGTTAAAATGATATTATTATTGATTTAATACTGGGCATAAAAAGCTGAATAATAAAAATAATAATAGGTCATATGTATCAAGGTGAATATGTATATTTAATGTATTCATATTTATATGTAGAGTCTCTACCCTCTTATGAGATTTATGTCCAATTATTATGCTTTGAAAATTTATACTAAAATTGCTAGCCTAAGTGTAAAGCACTATCCTTTTCCCAAGGAATACTCAAGTCAATAATATGAGTTGTCACATTTATTTATACATATTATATCATACAAATTCACATTTTCTGTGTGTGTTTCCTACTCAATCATTAGGCAGTTATTTTAGAAAATAAAAACTCCATTATTATTTTTATACCACATATATGCTAGAATTTAACTGTTTTATGCATACTGAGCCATTTGGTCCTTTGCAAATTTTTCTTTTTCTTTCTTTTTTTTTTTTATTAAGTTCTGGAATACAAGTGCAGAATGTATAGGTTTGTTATGTAAGTATAGGTGTGCTGTGGTGGTTTGCTGAACCTATCAACTCGTCATCTAGGTTTTAAGCCCCAGATGCCGTTAACTTTCTATCTTAATCGTCTCCTTCCATGCACCCTCCACCCCTCGACTGGCCCCAGTGTGTGATGTTGCTCACCCTGTGTCTATGTGTTCTCACTGTTCAACTCCCAGTTATGAGTGAGAACATGTGATGTTTGGTTTTCTGTTCCTGTGTTAGTTTGCTGAGGATGATGGCTTCCAGCTTCATCTATGTCCCTGCAAAGGACATGATCTCATACCTTTCTATGGCTGCTTAGTATTTCATGGTACATATATACCACATTTTCTTTTTCTAGTCTATCACTGAAAGGCTTTTGGGTTGTATGTCTTTGCTATTGTAAATAGTGCTGCAATAAACATACATAATCATGGGTCTTCATAGTTGGATAATTTATATTCCTTTGGGTATATGCTCTACAATGGGATTGGTGGTTCAAATGGTATTACGGATTCTAGATCCTTGAGTAATCACCACAATGGTTGAACTAATTTACATTCCCACCAGTAGTGTAAAAGCATTCCTATTTCTCCACAGCCTCACCAGCATTTATTGTTTCTTGATGTTACAATAATTGCCATTGTGACTGGTGTGAGACGGTATTTCCTTGTGGTTTTGATTTGCATCTCTAATAATCAGCCATGTTGAGCTTTTTTTTTCATGTGTTTGTTGGCCACATAAATGTGTTCTTTTGAGATGTGTCTGTTTATATTACTTGCCCACTTTTTGATGGTGTGTTAGCTTTTTTCGTGTAAATTTGTTTAAATTTCTTGTGGATTCTGGATATTAGACCCTTGTCAGATGGATAAATTGCAAAAATTATTTCCCATTCTGTAGGTTGCTTGTTCACTCTGATGATAGTTTCTTTTGCTGTGTAAAAGTTCTTTAGTTTAATTAGATTCTATTTGTCAATTTTGGCTTTAGCTCCAATTTCTTTTGGAATTTTTGTCATGAAGTCTTTGCTTATGCCTGTGCCCTAAATGGTATTACCTGGGTTTTTGTCTAGGATTTTTATGTTTGAGGTTTAATCATCAACTCTTTAATCTATCTTTAGTTAATTTTTGCATAAAGTGTAAGGAAGGGGTCCAGTTTCAGTTTTTTGTATATGGCTAACCAGTTTTCCTAGCACCATTTATTAGAGAGGAATCCTTTTCCTATTGCTTGTTTTTTTAGGTTTGTTGAAGATTAGACAGTTGTAGATGTGTGGTGTTATTTCCAAGGTCTCTGTTCTGTGTCATTGTTCCATATGTTTCTTTTAGCACTAATATCATGCTACTTTGGTTACTGTAGCCTTGTAGTATGTATTGAAGTCAGGTAGTGTGATACTTCCAGCTTTGTTCTTTTGCTTAAGATTGTCTTGGCTATACAGACTCTTTTTTGGTACCATATTAAATTTTAAGTAGTTTTTTATAATTCTCTGAAGAAAATCAATGGTAGTTTGATGGGAATAGCATTGAATCTATAAATTAATTTGGGTAGTATGGCGATTTTTATGACATTGATTCTTCCTATCCATGAGGATAGAATGTTTTTTGATTTGTTTGTGTCTTCCTAGTTCTTTCAGCAATGGTTTGTAGTTCTCCTTGAAGAGGTCTTTCACATCCCCTGTTAGCTGTATTTATAGGTATTTCATTCTCTTTGTAGCAATTGTGAATGGGAGATCATTCCTGATTTGGCTCTCTGCTTGTCTATTGTTGGTGTATAGGGATGCTTGTGATTTCTACACATTGATTTTGTACCCTGAGACTTTGCCGAAGTTGCTTATCAGCTTAAGGAGTTTTGAACTGAGATGATGGGGTTTTCCAAATATAGAATCATGTCCTCTACAAGCAGAGACAATCTCACTTCCTTTCTTTTCATGTGAATACCCTTTCTTTCTCTTGTCTGATTGCCCTGGCCAGAACTTCCAATACTATGTTAAATAGGAGTGGTGAGAGAGGGCATCTTTGTCTTGTGCTGGTTTTCAAAAGGAACGCTTCCAGCTTTTCCTCATTCAATATCATATGGTTACGGGTTTGTCATAAGTAGCTCTTATTGTTTTTAGATATGTTCCATCAATATCTAGTTTATTGAGAGTTCTTAACATAAAGGGATGTAGAATTTTTTTGAAGGTCATTTCCCTTGCAGAAATTTCAAACAGTTCCTTTTTTTACTGAGTGAAAAATGTTCTTGCATCCACAGTATGAGATTAACATATTGTTAAAATTACAATGAGTATGAGTAATGCTGGCATAATGCTCTTTCCAAACATCACTTAACATTTTTGTTAAAGACAGCATAAGTATTTTGCTGGTGTGGGGGGCGACTGGCTTGCAAAATGTTTATTAATGAAAATAAATGTGAAATATTCCTAATAGCAACTACCCATGAAAATATAAAAAATGGAAAGAGAAAAGTAATTTCCAAATAGACATCTGTGGTGGTTTTGAATGGGTTACTTTTCCTAGGTAGTTGACAGTTAACTGGTTTCTGAATGTTTTTCAGGCCATCTTGTTAGATGTATAACTATATACTTTATAGAAATATAATTTATCTTTTAGAAATATTTTTGTCAACTAATTTGATAAGATTTACAGAGCCTATACTCTGCTACTCTGAGACAGGAAATACCCTAGTAGCTAGAGTTGTACAGATGAAAATGACAGGGTCTGCTTACTCACAGTGAAGTGGAGTCAGGGCCCAGGACCATGGAAAGCTTTTAAGAAGAGAAGATAGCTGCACTGAATATTAATGCGAAGGCAAAGTGGAGAGAAGCCAGAGATGAAGTGTCTTGTGCATCATGCTAAAGAATTTAAATTACATCCTAAGTAGAGACATTTAGTAATGTTGAATGGGAAACTGACATGTTCTGATCATTGATTTATAAATGTATAAGCTTTTACTATATTCAAGATTTTTTTTTTTTTTTTGTATTGGCTGGGAATGGTGGCTCAGGCTTGTAATCCCAGCACTTTGGGAGGCTGAGGCGGGTGGATCACTTGAGGTCAAGAGTTCAAGATCAGCTTGGCTAACCAACATGGTGAAACCCCATCTCTACCAAAAATACAAAAATTAGCTGAGCATGGTGGTGCATGCCTGTAATCCCAGCTATCTGGGAGTCTCAGGTGGGAGAATCACTTGAAGAGGTTGTAGTGAGATGAAATAGTGCCATTCCACTCCATCCTGGGCAACAAGAGTGAAATTCTGTCTCAAAAAAAAAAAAATTAATTAATAAATAAAATAAAATAATGCATTATAATAAAGGCAAATTCTATTTGAAATGACAATTACAAAGTTATCCTTATTTATGAATAAATATATTGTGCCCTTTTTATTTAGGGGTTACACATCCATGGATTCAATCAACTATCGATCAAAAATATTTGATAAATAAATACATCCATACTAAACATATACAGACCATTTTTTCTTGCCATTATTCCCCAAACAATATAATATGATAAACATATACATAGCACTTTCATTATACTAGGTATAAATTATGTAGAGATGTGCATAGCTTATATGAAAATGTTATCCATTTTATATAAGGGATTTGAGTGTCTGAGGATTTTCGTATCCTTGAGAGGTCCTAGAACCAACTCTCCACAAATACGAAGAATGACTACATTCGTATATAATTTTCATTAGAAATAATTATCTGTTATAGGACTATATATGTAAATGAGACCATTAAATGAAATTTGTGCTATTTTAAAATGGGTCAAGAACATAATATCTACATATCTTCTTGAAAACTAAAAAAAAGATGTAATGTAATTACACATAATACAATATATAAACTCATTTTCCATTTTATATATGTTACATTTTATATAAATTTTATATCTGTTATTTGCATTTTCATATAATCTGTAGAGATTTTATTAAAATCTCTTTTTAGGCAGAGAGAGAGCTAAACATAAATCATAAAGAATAAATGAAAAAAAGAAAATATTGCTGTGCAGTGTAGTTGGAGAAAATGGCTTTTGTATTTGAAATTATTTTTTAATTAATGAAACAAATTAAAATTTAGATTAATACAACTTATTCCATGTTTTACAGGGAATATTGATGAAGCAGAACGGGAGTGGAAAGCAGGATTCCATCGCTGGAGCAATTACATGATGGACTGGAGAAATCAATTTAATGACTACACTAGCAAGAAAGAAAGTTGTGTGGGTCTCTAATTAATATATTTACCTTTTATGGAATGTTTATTTTCTCTTTGATCAAGGCAAAAATATCAGGAGCTTTCTTACACACCTACTAAGAAAGCTATTATGTAGCTGAAACAAGAATGCCAGAACGATAATATCGATTCCTCACGTGTTTAACTTAGGATTTTACCTACATTTCAAAACCCAAATGGCTAGAACATGTTTAATTAAATTTTACAATATAAAGTTCTATAATTAATTAGATGCATATTAAAACAATGTCCTGCTTCAATTTCTTTCTTTCCTTAAAAATAAGATTTTTTTTCCCTTAAAAGTTATCAGTGCTCTGCTTTTAGTCAGGTGTATTTTCATTACCACTCATGAAAAGGTGTCTATTTTAGGTGAATTAAATTTTGAAACACTGTACACCATAGTTTTCAATATTATATTTCCTAATTAAAATATAAATTTAATGTCAATATGAGATATTAAAATAAGCACAGAAAATTATTGGTCTTTTTGTTTTTTATAAAAGGGATTTCATCAACAGCAGACCTGTCCTATAAGAAAGGCTAAAGGAAGTACTTCAACCAGAAAGAGAAAGACATTAATGAACAATATGTAATCACATGGAGGTACAAAACTTACTGGTAATAGTAAGTACATAGAAAAACACTGTACATACTATAACCCTATGACTTGTGTGTAAACTATTCTTATTCTATGTAGAAATACTAAACAATAACCCAATAAAAATAACTACAAAACTTCTCAAACATAGAGCAATAAGATAGAAATAGGAACAACAAAATTTACAAAGCATGGGGACAAAATCAAGGCATAGAGCTTTCATTAGTATTTTTTGTACTTGTTTTCTTATGCATGCAGTGTTAAATTGTTATCAGCTTAAAATAGTGGATTATAAAATAGTATTCACAACTCTTATGGTAAACTCAAATCAGAAAATGGACACACAAATGTTACTATCTTATATTTGAAAAAACCTAAAGATTCCATAGAAAAATTAGTAAAACTGAAAAAAAAAATAAATAAAATTGCAAAACACAAAATTTATATACAAAAATCAGGAGGATTTCTATATGCCAACAGTGGAAAATCTGAAAAACAAAAACAAAAACCTTAAAAAGTAATCCCATTTTCAATAGCCACAAATAAAATTAAATACCTAGGAATTAACAAAACCAAAGAAGTGAAAGATCTCAATTATGAACATCATAAAACACTGATGAAATAAATTAAAGTGGATACTAAAAATTGAAGGATATTCCATGTTCATGGATTAGAAGTATAAGTATTGTTAAAATGTCCATAATACCCAAAGCAATCTACATATTCAATGCAATTCTTAAGAAAATACTAATGACATTCTTGACAGAAATAGAAAAAAAAAAAAAAAAAAAGAACCTCCAAATTTTGTGGAGCCACAAAAGACCCAGAATAGCCAAAGCTATCCTAACCAATAAGATCAGAACTGGAGGAATTATATTATCTGTCTTCTCAAAGCGAACTACAGAGCTTTAGTAACGAAAATAGCATGCTACTGGCATAAAAACTGACACATGAACCAATGGAACAAAACAGAGAACCCAGAGACAAATTCACACACCTAAGACAAACTCATTTTCAACAAAGATGCCAATAACATCCACTGGAGAAATGATGGTCTCTTCAAGAAATGGTGTTGGGAAAACTGGATATCCCCATGCAGAAGAATAAAAGTAGACTCCTATATCTAACCATATACAAAAATCAAACTAAAATCGATTAAAGACTTAAATCTAAGCAAGACCTCAACCTGTGAAACTACTACAGGAAAACATTGGAGAAATGCTCCAGGACATTGGTCCTGGCAAATTTGTGTGTGTGTGTGTGTGTGTGTGTGTGTGTGTGTGTGTGTGTGTAATACTCCACAAGCACAGGCAACCAAAACAAAATTAGAAAAATTACATAACATCAGATTTAAAAACTTCACAGTAAGGAAAACAATTTACCAAGTGAAGAGACAACCCACAGAAGGGGAGATAACATTTGCAAAATACCCATTGACAAGGGATCAATAACAAGAATAAATAAGGAGCTCAAACAATTATATAAGAAAAATCTAATAATCCAATAAAAAAATGTGGGCAAAAGATTTGAATAGACATTTCTCAAAAGAAGACATACAAATGGCAAACAAGCATATGAAAAGGTGCTCAACATCATTAATCGTCAGAGAACTGCAAATCAAAATTACAATGAGATGTCATTTCACCCCAGTTAAAATAGCTTATATTCGAAGGAGAGGCAACAATGAACGCTGACAAGGATGTGGAGAAAAGGGAACCCTCATACATTGTTGATGGGAATGTAAATTAGTACAACCACTATGGAGAACAGCTTGGAGGTTCCTGGGGGGGGGGAGGGGAACTAAAGAATTACCACATGATCCAGTAATCTCACAGCTAAGCATGTTCCCAAAATAAAAGAAATTACTATATTCAAAACATATCTTAATTTCTATATTTGCTGTAGTGCTGTTTACAATAGTCAGGATTTGGAAGCAAACTAACTGTAAGCAATAGATGAATAGATGAAGAAAATGTAGTTCATATGCACAACAAAATATTATTTAGCCAAAAGAAAAAAAAATGAGATCCTGGCATTTGCAACAACATGGATGGAACTGGAGGCCATTATGTTATGTGAAATAAGCCAGGCACAGAGCAACCAACATCACATGTTCTCGCTTATTTGTGAAATCTTAAAATTAATACAATTTAACTTGTGGAGATAGAAAAAGGGTAATTATCAGAGGCTGGGAAGGTAGTAGGGCTTGTGCAGAGGGGAATCTGTGGATGATTAATGGGTACTAAAAAAAAGTCAGAATGAATAATACTATCTGATAGCACACCAAGGGGACTATAGTCAATAATAATTTAATTATACATTTTAAAATACCTGCAAGGCTATAACTAGATTATTTGTAGTGCAAAGGATAAGTGCTTGAGGGTATGAATACCTTATTCTTCAGAATATGAGTATTAGGTATTACATACCTATATAAAAATATCTCATGTACCCTATAAAGGTATATCTACTATGTATCCAAAAAATTCAAAATGACAAATTTAAATTAAAAAATAAAATAGAGTTACTAATAAGTGAGATAATAAGTCAACAACAGTGGCATAATGTTTTAGAGGTGAATCCTAATAAAAATAGATACACATATGAAACAAGATATTTCCCCGACCACTTTATTGGCAGAAACTAGACTGCATGGCCATCAGCAGGGGTGAACTCCACTCACTCCCTGCTCCACCCATTATGGGACAGTGAGCATAGGTGCAGGAACCAAGGCTAGGGTTTTTGGGAGTCAGTAATAGCAAAATCCATACTGGCCTTACAGAAGCATCTAGGAGAGGGTGGCTGTGACCCCTGAAGCCCCAAAGGAAGTGTTACAGTGTTGTTTTAGCTTGCCATCTACAGATGGCTTAAGTGTTCGCAGCTCAGTGGAGGGTGTGTGATAGCGTTTTGCACCCACAATTATGGCACCTGAGTTCTTGTTCAGAGTCCAGGAGAAATGAGGTTGCATGAATGAATTGAGGATGGTAAACATAAGGGATTTCATTGCCAATGAAAGTGTCTCTCAGTGGGAAGCTTGGCTAAAAAAAAGGACAGGGCTGGAAGGTAACCATACCCTGAAGTCCCCTCCTCTCTGAAGCTACACCATCAAGCTATCCCTGTGAAGTCAAGCCACTTCTTTCCAACATCCAACCATAGTCGCCGATTTCCAGCTGTTTCTTCTATCTCTCCTGGCAGAACCTGGGGTTTTTATGGGCACGGGCTGGAGGTCAGGATGAGCTGTGAATAGTTTTGGAAAAGGCAACATTCAAGCAGGAAAACAGGAATGTAAGTTTTCACTTTGGGCTGTGGTATCAGGCGTTTCAGCTTGAGGATGGGGACCTTGTTTGAGACCCACACTCTTCTGGCCAGAATTTCTCTGCCTTGTGTCCCTGTCACATACGCCACAAAATAAATTCATACATCTCACCAAAACAATGCTTATTTATTTTTAAAATATTACCCATTTTCTTAGTTTAATACCTTATTTGTACTGTAAAGGCAGAAAACACCAACTTTTAAAGGCAGTTAGCTTTCACTGCTTTGATAGTATGAGATTAATCTCTGTATATCTAGTTGCTACTAAGGGCTTGCACAATGTTGTTATAAGTGTATTTGGTTCTTATTGATTAAGTGGATGAATGGAATAATAGATGAAAAAGTTTTGTGCTATGTGGGAAGAAAATTTTATTGTGACTCTATGCAAGTCAGGAGGACACATGAAGAACAAAGGAAGAGGAGGAAAGAAAGGAGAAGGTGGAGGAGGAAGAGGAGAAGATGGAGGAGGAAGAGGAGAAGGTGGAGGAGGAAGAGGAGAAGATGAAGGAGTCTGAGGAGTAAGGGGTAGTGGAAGAGAAGAAAAAACATCATTGCAGCCACTTGGAACTGGGTTTCTACAAATGAGCTATCTAGGCATTTGAGAGCTTCAGCATGGAAGAGGTAATAGACAGGGAACTGAAGATTCATACGATGGATCATTTTATGTAGATTCATGTGGCATTTAACTCAGCGATTTCTAACTTTTGACCTTAACTATACTTTAGAATCCCTGGAGATAATTGTGGCCTGCTGCACACTAAGCCAAGTAAATTATAATGTCTGGGAACAGAGCCTAGATATCAGTATGTTTTCAAAGTTTCCCAGGTGACTCTGTTTTATTTTTCTGCAACAACACTGTTTATTTTGACAGGTTTAAGGGCAATGCTTTCTTCAGAAGGGCAAGTATAGGATCTTGATTAGTAGTTTCCAAAATTTGTTACATATTAGAATCAACTGGGAAGTTACTAAAAATTCCAGTATTCATGCCACAACTCATCCTAATTAATTAAATCACAATGTGAGAATGGGAGGCAGGAATCAGTATTTTTTAATGATCAGTAGTTGGTTCCAATGTGCAATGAAGTTTGGGAACCAATGACCCATTCTAGATAGTTAATTTAAAGAACTGGGGGAATATTCATATTGCTAGAGTACTCACAAGTACATAGCTATAAAACCTGCAATTTCATGGTAGAAAGAAATGAACTTGTTAGTGAATTAATTGTTTTTCTCTGAATAAAGAAATGTGCAGAGTTTACTGACTATATAGAATAAATTTGGAGTATAGACTTTTTGTCATGACTTATCAACTAGAAAGTTATATTTTTAGATGGGCCCAGTGACTCACACAGGTAATCTCAGCACTTTTGGAAGCTGAGGCAGACAGATCACTTGAAGCCAGAAGTTTGAGACTGCCTGGTCAACATGACAAAAACCTGTCTCTACCAAAATATGTGATGGTCCATACTTGTAATTTCTGCTACTAGGGTGATAAGGCAGGAGAATCACTTGAACCTGGGAGGCAGAGGTTGCAGTGAGCAAAGATCACACCACTGCGCCCAG